TAGAGTTCCGGATATAGGGGGTTCTCCAAGGGAGGAAAACCCCGCAAAAAGCCCGCGAAAGGGGGGTTCAGAAATTTTAGCAGTCCTGAGATAGGGGGGTGCTTTCAAAGGGAGGGAACGAGCATATGCGTACCCTAAATAACACTGAGTGGAGGGGCCGGGTATATACCCGAGGAACCTGAATACTGAAGAGATGTGAGAAAAGATGTATCATACGAACCATTTTCACATGATATATATTCGATACAGAAAATCCTCGTGATTATCGTACAGTGCTCATAGATGGATGATGTTATTTCAGGGACAAGAACGAGCTGAAAGATCCGATCGGAAAGTCGAGATGCAGACTCATCATACATCATCTGGGCACGGTGGCCCTTGGTGCATTCATCATCACGCTAGTCAAACTACCAAGACTCATCCTCATATGGGTGCAGGAAAAGTAAGCAGTGTGACGTGAGAATGTGTTTGTCATCCTAGCGTTTCATCTGCATATGTTCATGCGTTCGTGTGTGCATGCGTTCATTCGTGTGTGTGTGTGCATGCGTGCGTGCGTGCGTGCATGCATGCATGCGTGTTTGAATTTACTTCTATTCCACACCTTGCTTATTTTATTTTTTTTAACTTCATCAATTAACGTGGTAATACGGTCTCAAGTTTAGGTTGAAATTTGAATCGTGTGTGCGTGTGTCTGAATGTAGTTCTATTCCAGATCCTGCTTATTTTACAACAAAAAAAGACTTATCTATCAATTAATGTGGTAATATGGTCTCAAGTTTAGTTCGAAATTTCACCTGTTTCCAAAATTACAATTGCTTCTGTAGCACAGAGTGCTATTATGTCTTTACATGGAATGTGTTCCCATTTGAAATGACGTGCGCTGTCACAGTCGCTGTTGTCTCTTTCTTGCTATTAGGTTAAAGGGTGGTGACAGCAACAGCACGTGTACAGAATGGTGCCTCAAGTGCTGCACCTGCTGCCTCTGGTGTCTTGAGAAATGTCTCATATACCTTAACCACAACGCGTACACTATTACGGCCTATGAAGGCTCAAGCTTCTGCCCTGCTGCGAAGAAAGTGAGCAAAACGTGCACGTCATGTTAATTAAAATAATAATATGATATAATGTAATAGAAAATTAATATAAAATATTTAAACCGTATATAAGATGATAAAATGATATAAACGTATGTTCTTGAGCGTAATCGTGCATTCCATCATGCAATCGTGTCTTCCACTATGTAATTGTGCATTCCGTCATGCAATCCTGCATTCCGTCATGTAATCGTGCATTCCGTCACACAATCGTGTATTCCATAATGCAATCCTGGATTCTGTCATGCAATCATGCGTTGCGTCATGCAACCGTGTGTTCTGTCATGCAACCGTGCATCCCGTCATGCAATCTTGCATTCCGTCATGTAATCGTGTGTTCCGCCATGCAATCGTGCGTTCTGTCATGCAATCATGCGTTCCATTATGCAACCGTGTGTTCTGTCATGCAACCGTGCGTCCCTTCATGCAATTGTGGATTCCGTCATGTAATCGTGTGTTCCGCCATGCAATCGTGCGTTCCATCATGTAATTGTACATTCTGTCACACGACCGTGTGTTCCACAGGCGTTCAACACGTTGTTCAGCAACGCGCTGCAGGTTGCCGCTATCAACAGCGTCGGAGATTTCGTTCTCTTCCTAGGCAAGCTGGCCATCACCGGATTCACTGGTCTCATCGGCATCCTCATCTTTCAGGTGAGAACACGCAAACGCCACCCCGCAGGGTCGGAAATCGCAGCCCGTCGTCCACCCCTGGTCCGTGTCCCAGTACCGGTAACCGCTGCACGGGACTAGGAGCATTGCTATTGAAGTTTACTATAGGTTATGGTAGTAGCGATCTGAATTTTCGGAATCCGGACACCAGCTGGCTTTTCAGACTTATTTTTCCAAGGCTGGTGATAGCTAATTGCTGCTGTGCTACTACAATATATAATGGGATCAGTCTAAAAAATTAATCTGAAAAGCCAACTAGTCCCCATTTCGAAAAACGTTGATTTCTATTCTATAGCCTATAGTAACACAATACGAATTAGTCAGTCATGCTGAAAAGTCCCAGACTGGGGGATGACGGGTTGCTATTTTCAACACTGCCAGGAGCCCTCTAAATGTTGAAAAAACATCCAGTTTGTTTGGCTAAGATCATACAATTTGTTTACAATAATTTTCTACGATAATATCAAGGCAATGCTGTTCATGTTGTTTAGTTTTTGCTTCCAGAATCAACCGGGCTACAATTACTATGCGATCCTGGTGCTCATCGTCTGTGTGTTTGCATTCTTCATTGCACACTGCTTTCTGTCCGTGTACGAGGTAAGGACGACTACATGACGAACAAAACATTACGTTACATTAACACTAATGCCATATTAAACCTGCTTGCGGGATCTGTGTAATGAAATTGTGTTGTGTAGTGTGATGAATAAACATCACGAGGACCAGGCGCGGATTTAGGCCGGTTTGCACCGGTTTCCAGAAACCGGTCACAGGCCTCAAAATTCACCAGAATGCACCAAATATAGCCTAATTTTTAAAAAATTCCCGGGGGTGCATGCCCCCGGACCCCCCTAGCTGCAGAAGAACATATGGAAACTGACCACCCAAACCCTCTGGATCCGCCCCTGAGGACCATGCATCACACCATATTTTTTATAAAAAATAAATGATGGTTATATAAGTTTTAATGATAATGGTACATATTATATCTAAAATAGTTACGGAAAACAACTTTACATGCACATTTTTAATTAAGCTGTGCCAGACCATGTCTAACCAAGCATGTGTTTGTACTATAATTTTTTATAGATTTTATGGCATGTTTTATAGACTGGTACACACTTATACTAAGTACTCATCTGGTGGATTCGCTTTCTCATCGGTGTACTGCTTACCAGATCGATATTTTGCACTCGGTTTTTTATTGCGTGAATTCGTGGTTGATTAATTATTACTGTCTGTTCACAGATGGTGATAGATACGCTGTTCCTCTGCTTCTGTGAAGACCAGAATATGAACGATGGGTCATCGGGCCGGGAATATTACATGGAAAAGTCGCTCATGGTGGGTTTATACCAGTATATCTTTAATTAAGTAAGAATACTTTATTTAATGATAAATCGATTTACTTATCCTTTAGGTGTGATTTCGACAATTGATCTAGTTGTCTTTGTCAACCTTAATTCACCTTTGATAGGGCCACTAGATCAGCTGTTAAAATTGTTTCCGACAGGAAAAATAAATGGATTCATCAAAATATATTTGCTCCTATATCAGTAGGCCTACAGGTTCCCCAGATTTTTATCACTAATTAGTAATTGTATTATTACTATTATATTATTGTATATTAGTTAGTAACAGTAATATAGTCGTTTTTATCTTTCCAGTTTTATCGTAGCATGTTAAATTAGTCGAATTGTTACAAAATCGTTGTTCTTACATCTTCAAAGATGTTCAAACTGTTGATTTTTTAGGAGTTTGTTAACAACAGCACGGCAGCGCTGAAGCGGTTAGAGAATCCGTCAACTCCACGTGACGGCACGGCAGAAGAAAGGAACAGTATGTAAGCGTGTCGGCCATGACGCCTGCCGGTGTCGAATTCAACCGAGTAAAGTCACAGTATTATCCAAAGCACATGCTACTATTATAGTGAGTCAGCAGTGATATACGACTACGCCGTTCAAACGAAGCCGTTTCATAGATTTGCTGTCATTTAACAATTTGATGTTTAGATTATCTGTTGTATCACATCTCAGGGTGGTAATGGTTGTGTTGTCTCTTTTCGCTCTAGATAGTTTTACGTAAGCAGTGTAAGTCGTTGGCAGTCACTGTCGAGTCTCTGCATTTTAACGTGACAGCAAGTTTTATCGTACATTTATATTTGTTTTATGTAATAAGCATGTTGAGCAGAATACATGCTCCTACGATATTTAACTGATTATTTAAAGTTTAATCGTTCTCTGTCTGCGTTGTTAGGATATGCTGTACGTATTGTTATAGTTGGACTAGATGAACTTATCAATAGATGCAATAGAAATAGAAATACATATGATATCTATAGAATGAGTGCATTAGTTGAATAATCCCAATCGATGTATTTATTCTCTCAGCTGCCTAAACTATGTCTAACAAACAGTTAGAGCCAGCCCAGTATGAGGGGTGATTCTATTTCCGAGGTAAGACGGCCTTTGATGTCGAGATGCTAGGGGTATGCACATTAGCGTGTCTCCAGATCCAGATCATGAAATCTGTAGCAGGGATAGCACCCGTAACATCCTCCCCCTCCCCCCATCTTAACTCTGCATTAGTTAGTTTTAATGAACGTACCTGTACCAGCAATGATATAGTCGTGTTTTTTATACATTTAGTGTGCTCTACTTCTGTGACTGACCTAGCCATAAGTTAGTTATAAGTTATAAGAGTGCAACTTGTCCAGATGAGCTGTTTAGCGCCACGTTTAAAAAGTTTTCCGTTGTCTTGTTGTTCTCTGTGCATGTATGGCCGGGTAATACACTCAATGTGAAAAGGGACCTACCATCAATGCTAGTGGCCCTGCCCCTTGTTTCCTTGGGTGTTCTGTCATTTTTGACTGGGCCAACTGATCATATAGTACTGATGTTGTGTTCGGCTAAAATCAAGTAACATGCATTGTCAGTGTAGATCAAACTACACATTAGAGCTACACAAGAGTTCGTTGAAAATAAAGATGTTAATAAATATTATTTAACATGGTTATTGCCGACTATGGATTGTCACGTAACATGCAGACGCATTTATACTCTGAATTCTGATAGTTACGTGTAAAAACAAGAAACTAGAGTTTACAACGACTAAAGTCAAGCTTTAGCAGACGAATATTGTCATATGATATGTTTGAAGGTTATAATTGCTACTGTAGCAATGCAGAGAAATATATTACTTATGATATAGTAATAATAATTATTTTCCAAATTGGTTGTCTGTCCACCAATTTTGTTGGACTATTGAATTTACTATTATACCCCGACTTCAATATATACACGTCTCACGTACTATACTTACCACAATCATGTTTGTTCGTAAAGGATTTTATTCCTAAACATGTGCATAAATCTGATGAAGATATTTATTTTGCGCTTTTAGATTCTGCTTGTGATCATTCATTAAATTAAAACAAATGTATTTTTGTCTGTATTGGACATCTATTTGTGTGATTATACTGTTATGTGTAAAACAGTTAAACAAAATGTGAACAATTAAATGTAATTCAATGCCATTTCACGTGAACATAATTTTATCGAGCGCATTGGCATTTTGATAAATGTAATTTATAATTATTTTACTTAATTATGTATCTCTGTGGTTGTTGACTATCGGTCTGTATGCTCCGAGCACATTTGAATTTTTCTGCATGTTTGTATGTGCTGGTGTGCGAGTGTGACTGTGGGAACCATGGTACTATATGGGTTTCTATTGAGTTGTGCATAAACCTATCAAATGTTCCATCTAATCTTCAAAAGAAATTTTATTGCTATGAACTTTAATCCCAAGGCAGATAACCTATATATATCAGTAAAGAACTGCATTCCACTCTTAAACAACTGTACTGTACTTAACTGCAGTGGTACCTACTTATTCATGTCCCACGATCTGGTTGCTGACAATTTGTGAACTGTTTACATAGTGACGAATGTAAGGTCTATTACGTGTGAGTTCGTGTTTTTATGATATATGTCCAATACAATGATTTTTATCATATATTTTCATTCTACTGATCAATTTTTTCTCTGTTGAACGTGAAAATTATATTCTGATTATATACTATTCTGACTATACAGAATCTCAGACATTCCTTAATGGTTTGCGCAGTCACAAAAACAGATGCGATCATTATTTTACTAAAAACTTCAACGCCGCGCCGATAATATATATTAATGTCGGTGGACCTGCATCCCGCGGAGACAATCCAGGTCCCAGCATCACGCCGACATGTTAACTTGATGCTCTTCCAACCCGGGCCTGAGATCACGATATCTACGACCTCCAGCTCGTGACCTCTGCGACCTCTACGACCTCCAGCTCGTGACCTCTGCGACCTCTACGACCTCCAGCTCGTGAGCGCGACATTAACCTTGTGACCTCCACAATCTCCAGTTTGTGACCTCTGCGACCTTCAGCTGGTGGCCTCTGCGACCTTCGCCTCCGCGAGACAGTCGGCGTACTGGAACTGGTCGCCGCTCTCGTACTCGCACATGTCCAGCGCCACCTGGCAGCTCTCGCGCACGACGCGCTCGGCGTCGTCAGCGTGCGCTCGCAGCGCCCCCGTGGCGCCATCGCCCGCGATCGCTCCCAGCGCCTCGGCACACTCATGTCGCACCATCGCGTGTTCGGCAGCGTCGCGCAGCACGCGCGCGAGCGGTGGCGCCGCCGCGCCATGCTGCATCTGTCCGAGTACGTAGGCCACCTCGTGCCGGAAGAGGGCGCTGCCGCAGCCGAGACCTGTAGCAGAGGTCGAATTTTAGTTTTATTGTGCCTGTGCCAAGTGAATGTTGCCTCTGCAATTTACTCGGATTTTGAAGCACCAATTGGGTGCTATAACCAAACCACACAATTTTAGGCGTTTTTTAAGGGCATGGTAAGTGCTGCCATGGGTTTAATCAGAATTTTGAAATGGGGTGCACTGACAAACAATTACTTTTCATGCACATGCTTAAAGTAAAATATGGCAGAATACATATAAGGATATCCACAACTTGAAATTTCCTGGAATAGCCACAGAGGCAGACTAGGTTGGACACCCATGGCAACTTCGTGATGTGTATATCAGCAGGATTTTTAAGGCACCACGACAAGTAAAGGGCATTCACAACACTTGCTTTCACTGCATTTCACAACATTCACTTGCTGTCAGTACTATGATGAAATTCGAACCCTGCTGCAGGTGATAACTATGGGAAAATCCATCCTCTTCAAAAAAAAATTCCCAAAGTTATTTATATGATATCAAATCGATTTACTACCTTCCAAACCAATATATTAACTTCCAAATAAACATTCACATTAATTTACTTGTAGTGTGAATCCCAGCAGACTAGAAGAATACATCTGAATGCTTTGTTGATTCGCAAATACATCTTTGTAAATGTAATTATAAAAGTTGTGAATGGATTCAGAAGTAAGTAAATAGATCTGACAGTTGGTAAATTGATTTGCTTTCATATAAATTACTTTAAGAACAGTCATTTTTGAAGGGGATAGCTTTCCATAGCTATGCGGAGAAACTACCTCTATAAATTGGATTCCTGTCTATAACTATAAGAGACAGGTATTTCCCTCGAATATTTATATATATAATATAACCTTACTGTCCTTAATATAATTAATATATAGCAGCATTTTTAAATGTAATAATTTTACGTGTACTCGAGCTCCCTTGCATACGTGTTTGTCTGACATATGTCACCCCATCACTGTGTGTGTCAGATGAGAAATTAGGAAAGAATGAAATCTTTCTCGGCTCCCTGCCGGACAACATATATATGTACCACGTAATCAGTTCTCCTTATTTTTCAGACCCACGCACGTACCTTCTGCTAGCGCAAGCACCGCTTCCTCTCCTCCTGCGTTACGCAGCGAAAACATGGCCCTGTATCGCTCAAACAACGGAACGCTCTCATCCAGGAGTATCGCCCGCTGGACTGCCACGTCGCAATTCTCGTTAGGGGGCGCCGGGTCCGTTGACATGTACGGATTCGCAGACAGGTTTTCGCGCTCACTCTCGGGTCGGTGAAGCCATTTCAGCCGCCGCACTGCCAGCTGACAGGTCTCAGCTACCTAGAGTAACATGAGTTGTTAGAGATAGAGATGGAGATGTTAGAGAGATAGAGACGGAGAGACGGACAGATGGATGGATGGATGGATGGATGGATGGGTGGATGGATGGTTGGATGGGTGGGTGGATAGATGGATGGGTGGGTGGGTGCATGATGGATGGATGGATGTGTGGATGGATGGAAGGATGGTTGATTGGTTGGATGCATGGGTGGATGGATGGATGGATCTAGATAGATGGATCTATAGATAAATTGATAGATTGCTAGATAGATAGACAGATAGATAGATTGATAGATAGATAGATAGACACTGAGATAGATAGATAGATAGATAATATTTAATTTATATGATAATAGTATACCAGGCACTAAACCAAAGCTTTATTTACCTCAACCATTGGATCTGAACAGTGTTTGTTCAACACTTCCAAAGATGAAATGCTGCCAATAGCCCCAAGTGCTTCACCTATACAAGAAAAGGATACAGCATTAGACAAAAGACTAATGATCTCTGATACATTATAGATATATCATGTCAACAATGCAACACTAATGACAGGAAACTAAATTAGTGATGAGTTGTTTATACTTATATAACTATGGCATTGCTCACAAATTGATACCAGTTGGTGTCGACCTACGTGAAAGCGAAAGCACTGTGTACAAATTAAACTGGTAGCTACTTTCAGAACTGTATCTGCGGTGATTGATTATGGATATTCATATGCAAATCCACTGGTGCCACCTGCTGTTTGATTTAGGAGTAGTATTTAGTATATATACTGGTATCTACCAAAATAAATAAAATAACAAAAGGCAAAATTGTATGATTGCCATATGTTTTGATAAATTGATTGCTATTAGGGTTATTTGGTATAGGAGTCTGGATTATGTTGGTCATGATGCATGCCGATGATGACAATGTATGTATGCATAATGCAGGGTTCTCCCCAAGAATTTGGGCATGTCGGTCAATTCACTGAATCAGGCTACTATAATATCTACGACTGCTAATCAGAGCTATTACGCTTGTCGTACGTGGACCTAATATACAGGTAAACTCAATTGCTTTAGAGATGTATAAGTAACTGTATATATATCATGACGTGAAAAAGCACGAATGTGTTGGGATCGGTAAAAGTCAACGCAACAGTACCGTGTATGTCATTGGATTTATGACGAGATGATTCATGTTAACTTCACGTTTGAAGGCATGCCAGATGTGACATGCGTTAAAAGCCTGTGAGTGTGGAGAACACTGGTATGGGTACGTGTCACGATAAAGTAGAAATGAGTGCGTTGAATATTCTAGTCACCGTCTACGACAATACGTCGTTGACGTCTATATCACATGCGTCTAAACAGAGAAATTGCTCCGACCTGTGATTGGAGGATAAAAATAGAATTTGTGACGTTTCGCTTCACCGGTTATAACCGCGCGTGTATTAGCCTATGAGCGATACGGATCATACCGCGCGTGCATATTTGCTAATTAATTAAACTAATCGTGCTTCAATAGACTCAAAATTCACAGCGATTAAGGCTAAGACATGTGTCTATAACAGCTAGAATTTATAGAAATGTAACTCAAATCGTTCGCTCCATATGATAGTTATAACTATCATATGGAGCGAACGATTTGAGTTACATTTCTATAAATTCTAGCTGTTAATGTTATAGACACATGTCTTAGCCTTAATACACTTAATACTAATACTATACTCTATAGTACACGTTCCTACCGGTCATAGCATAATAGCGTATGCGGCGGGAGTGGGCGGGGTCTATTTTTGTCCTCCAATCACAGGTCAGAGCAATTCCTCTGTTTATAGACGCATGTTCTATATTAACCTGTATAATACAGTTGTTACACCGAAAACGGTGTTTGACTCATGGCGGGGAATCGGATTAGCGGCGAGCAATCGAGCGTACAAAAGTAAATACGGCAAAACTTCGCCCCAGGCGAATACCTGATGAATGAAAACAAACTAGTTAATGGCTTTGGCAGAAGCGTGCACTAATTGCAGTTATAAATTCAACTTGAATAACTTGAGAAATGACGTCAGGCAAAAGCCTGCTCGCTGATTGGACGACCTAATCACAGTCGCTGCGACCTGCTCACTCATTGGCCGATCTGGCTCAGTCAGCAGCCACCCACTTTCATATAGTAAGGGGTTAACGCTCTGGTGAGTAGGCCCTCTAGGGGCCGTTACAATCAGGAGTGGTACCGTAATCATTAACGTAAGTTCTATATCGATAATAAAGATATCCCGATTCCTGACAAGTTACGCTGAAGAGGGACCGTTGTCGTATCAGGTACTACAGATATGTACCCGAGGTACATCTATGTATACACAAAGTGTACCAGACTTGTACTACAGAAGTGTACCCTAACCCTAACCCTAACCCTAGCCCTAACCCTAAACATACCTCATATAAAAATATAAACATAATACTAACAGGCGCGCAAATCCATTTTACATGTGGGGGACACGAAGGTAGCGAGCACGCGAAGGGGGGGTCTGGGAAATTCTTTGAAATTAGACCCCTCCAGATGCCGTTTCCTGCGCGGATAAAAATCGCCATTCCCGTGCACTGGCGAGTGGGAAAAAAAAATTTTGCAGGCCGCGACTCCCCCCCCCCCCGTACACGCCCCTTGCA